GACAAATGATCTTGTCATTAACGTTTGGTAAGATAATACCATGTACATAACTCAAATTCATGCAAAGTAAATCAAAGTTAAAATATAAGAAATTATTAACAAGATGAATGGAAACATCAAACCAAGGTGAATGTTTAATAGGAGTTGGTTGCTGAATTCTTTTCGCGATTGGCAATGCACTTGGAATGTCAACGAACACAACTCTTGGCACTTCAAATGACGTTTCTTTTGGAACTTCAAATGGCATCATCTTTGAAACATCAAGAGACATGTTTTGTGGATCAAAAGTAACAACTATATGTTCTTCAAAAGTCACATCTTTTAGTCCTCCAAAAGACATGATTCTTGAATCATCTCCTTGAAAAGATATGTCTCTTGAATTGTCCTGCAAAACAAAAGGAAGAATAGGAGAAAAAGTAATGTTAGATAAAATTTGTTCTTTACTCTCCTCTTTATCTCCAAATTCATCTCTTTCAATTCTCTTATTTGCAATCCCAACTTTTTCATCATTTGAATTTTCCTCCAAATGTTATCTTTCAATTGCATTGTCTTTAAGTTGCTCGTTCATTGCTTCAATGTTCTTCTTCAAGGTGTTTTGATCTTCATTTACTCGGCTAGGAGATAGTGAAGTCAAGATGATTTTCCTTTCATTGTGAAAGAAGGAGTATCGGTTTGTGAAACCATCATGAACAACACGCTTGTCAAATTGCCATGGCCTCCCCAAGAGTAAATGACTTGTATTCATATGTACCACGTCACATAGAATCTCTTCTTTGTAACTTCCAAGTGAGAATGGAACAAATACTTGTTCAGTAACCTTCAATTCTTCATTGCCATGCAACCATTGCAATTCATATGGGCTGGAATGTTTAATCGTTATAAGCCCCAATTTGTTCACCATGTATGTACTTGCAATGTTTGTACAACTTCCTCCGTCAATAGCTACAAGACACACTTTACCATTTACATGGCAACGAGTGTGAAATGTGTTTGTTCTTTGCTGTTCGTTCTCCATTGTTTGGAAAGATGAAAGATCATAAGACATTGTTAGTAGAAAGAAAGAAGAAAAAAATTAAAAACCTTACCAGCACACTCTCAAAGCCTCACAATCTTCACTCCAAAGAAAATTAAGAGATCACTCCACTCAACACTCGTGTTTACTCTCGGGAATATAACTTGGCTTTTAACAATTCCCCTTCTGATCTCACTCTCTCAATTAGCCTTTTTTTCCACTCAAATTTCTCTTGCTAAGTCCTTTGAGGAACTTACTCAAGATTATAACAAGTTAATTCTTTCCTTGTGTGCGTCGGCTGCAAATAGGTTAGGGTAGAAGAAATAAAGGATATGGATAGGTAGAAGAAAGGATTTAAAGAATGAAATGGTTGAAGACAAGCAAAATGAAAGGATAGAAAATGGAAGAGGTGACTTACAATTCAAGAAACAACACTTACTGCAACCTTTCTCAAGAAACAATAAGGTTATCTTCTCATAGTGTAGATGGCCTCTTTGATGTACTTGCAATGGTAGAACACACTTTCCTTGGCTTTGCTTCTTTTTGAAATTCTTATTTTTTTTCTTTTCTTCTATTCTGATTTTTTTTCCTTTTTTGTCTTTTCTTTCTTTTTGCACTCCAATTTTGATGTAGGATTCTTTTTTTCTTTTGCTTTGCACGACAATGACACTTTTGTTGTCAATCCAACTATGCTCTGATTACCGCTTGATGTAAGGCGAATCTACATGCTTTGATGGAAGAGAATATATAGCCTTATTGTGTCCCGATCTAGGATTGACAAGTACTGATGTCCTTGAATTTATAAGTTTGAGCTGCAAAATAAGATAAGAAAATAATGATTAATAATGGAATTTAATAAAGGGGATAATAATATAAGTAATAAAAATAAATAATAAGAATGAAATGAGATAAATAAAGGATAGAGATGGTTGCGAAATTGATGGAAGAGATGGATGATGTTGATGATGAAATGGCAATGGTGGTGATATTGTATCTCAAACACGCCAAAGAGGAAACTATGCTATAAAGAACAATCCCGGTCTTCACAAACTTGCTTGAGGGGTGGTGATAGTGTCTTCAACCCACTATATATCAATCTAGGAATTTTGGAATCAAAATGGAATGAATGACGCCACAAGTATAGGAACTATACTTGTTTAATCGATAAAGTTCACAAAGAACTTTGAAGAGAAATAACTCACAAGAGTATGTTTTATATAAGAGATGAGATAAGATACAAATGAAATGCCAAAGCCTATTTATAGTTTTCAAAGGGTTTAGGCCGAATAGGTACATAATGGTTCGGCTATGCATGAAACCCCTTTGAAAATACATGACTTTTAAATGAAAAATACATGATTTTAATGAAGATACATGCTCGGGGGTCAGCTGACAACTTTTCATCATTTGTTCTTCATGATCTCCCGAGTCATCCTATGAAAGTTTTCCTAGCTCCTTATCATTAGTTAAACTCAAATGTAGCTCCCAAGTGTTGGCCGAATATGCCTACATGCATAACATAAAGAAATAAACTAAGTATATAAACTATATAATGCATATAATATAATGATGTGCATATTATAAAGATGTGAACTATAGGTTATAATAATAATTCATGCATCATATGATAATGAATGAATATTAATATTATAACTATAGATTATATACATGAATATCAATCAATGATGCAAACCATAGGATATAATGAATGAATACACATACTATGATAATTCAAGTATAGTCTAATATGAAAATGTATGCTCATAATAATATATATAGTGCATAAATAAGTAAATATAATATAAAAGTATAGTAGAACTCCCTTATATTGAGTTTGATGGTTCTTCAATGATGTGAGTATGTCATGCAGAAAGTTGGTGCTAAACAGGATCACATCACTGTTGAACATAATGTAAATGCCGAACCAGTTGGCATTTCGAGAGTGATCAAAACGAAAGAAGAATATTTTTAGTAAGAGCCAGCTGTCATGACATAAAAAGTGCTTTATGCAATCAACCATAATGGAGGGGACAGTTACAATCTTTGCACTGACTCTCACATAAAATGAATGAACTTTAGGGTGTTAGTGTAATTTTAACACAAAACCCTAGGTTCATTGTCCCCTATAAATATAAGATGAAGCCTGACTTTTTGAGGAGACTTGGAGATTTTTAGATAGTCGCCAAGAGCCTAAAAATTCGGAGAAAAAGTTCTCTCTTTTTCCGTAAATCGTTTTTGCCGTGGTATTCCTCCGTTGACAGGCTATAGGGAATAGTGAACTAGGCGTCCAAGAGGAGCTAGATCGCTGGGACTATTCGTGGTGGCCGAGGAAAGCTCCGGCAGTGCACGTCGAAGGCTTTTCCTCCTTCCCTTTGCTCTTTGCTTTCGTTATTTATTATTTGGGTTGTAAGGAAAGGATTAACTTGCTTATTTCGAACCCCACCATGAAATAATCCTATTTGGTGAGAGTTTATTTTGGATATTTTAGTTTTTCTTTAATGAATGATTATTTTTCTATGTTATATTTTGTTTTGTTTATGAAGCTTAGCACCTTAAGGTTGTAGGAGCTACGAGAGTAGCCATTCCTTAGGAGATTACTTAGTGTTTGAGAGAATGTCTAGGTAGCACATCCTTAGTTTTCAAGAGACACTAGGGAAGAACCACATAAGCAAGGGGTTCTAGATAGTAACTAGGCCTAATCCACCTTAGAGATAAGGCTAGGATTTCATTCGACTAAAAGGAGTTGTGTATGAGTGATAGGTTAGATGTTAATGTTGCCGCAAAAAGGTATTGTCGAGACATATATTGTTATCTGGACCAATAGGATCACTGCAGGGGTTTACGCCAACCGGTTTTGCCAAGGCATCTTCACTCTGTCGAGTCCCTTACTAGAGATAGCATAGGGCACCCTAGTAGACTCTGTCGAGCAGATTAGACATAGAAGTAAGATCATTCTGAGAAGTATACTTAAATTTCCTAAGTAACTCCTATCACTCATTCCCATAGTAGCTTGTCGTATGAGGAGTCTAAAGTTCTTATAAGCAAATCCAGTATTTACAATTTATTTTGTCTTTACATTTTTATTTGTTTGCACTCAGCACAATTCAATTTGCCACAACATATCCATTTGCTACCACATTGTCATCGTTCCATTTCCATACCATCCATTCATTTTGCCACAACATTACCATTTGTATATATACCATCTCTAACTTTACTTAGGTGACAGAGTAAAGTGCCGTGACAAACTTATTTGATTTCCCCCAATCCTTGTGGAGAACGATACTCACTCATCACTTTATTACTTGTCGATTGTGTATACTTGCACACATATCCGCACCATTTATAGTACTCACAAACAGCGAACATTGTCATATTTTGTAAACTTTTAATACATTTGAAGTTTTAAAAATTTCAAAGCTTATGTTAATTATCCTAAATTTCTTGTAATTGTAATTTTTTTTTTAGATTTTTTATATTTCATACATTCGTATTATAATGTATTGATGATGGTTGATTAAAGGGAAAAATATTTATATATTTTTAAATATAATATAAGATTTTTATAGGTTCAAATTCGAGTTTGAGTTCAAGCTTGAATCGAGCTTGAATCGAGCTCGAGTCTCAAGCTTCAATTGAGTTCTTAATTTTTTTTAGTTTGAGCCTTTTCGAGTTGAGTTTCAATATTATATTTTGAGTTCAAGCTGAGCTTGATAGTTTTTAACTCGCGAGTTTTCAAGTCGAACCTAATTTTAAACTTTTCGAGTTCGAGTCGAGCTTAACAATATTCGAATTCGACTCGGCTCACTTACGATCCTAACCTCACCTAAGGGAAAGGGAAATAATGTGTTTTCTTGACATAAGAGGAAAAAGAGAAGGCAAAGAATGTATTTTGCTTGCCTCTCCAAAAATTAAATTAAAAAAGTGTTGGTAAATCTATTAAATTAATTAGAATACAAGAGTACATAGATGTATAGCACCTACAATACAACTTGGTCGAATCCCCAACAGTTTTTTAACATGCTCGATTTCCTCCTCATCATGCCCCCTTCTTCAAAATCCACCGCCACCAAATTTTCCGGCCACCACCATTCCCACTCCCCTCTCCTCCACTGCAAGCACTCTCCATCCGCCACTCTAGAGCTTTTGATCCTAATTTTAGTCCTTTTCTCCGGCACTTTTCTCCTCTCCTCTTACTTCTCCTACCTCTTCCATTCCCTTTCCCTCCTTCTTTCCCCTCTCCTTTCCACCCATGGCTCCTCCTTGTCTCTTCCTTTTGTTTCCTACCTTTTGGGTTGCACTATTTTCTTCGTCACGACCCTTGTTTCCATTGAGTTCTGCTGCGGTTCACGATCCCGTAAATGCGATAAGCCTCGATGTAAAGGGCTGAAAAAGGCTTTGGAATTCGATTTGCAGGTGCAAACGGAGGATTCTGTGAAGAATGGATCAAATGAGATTGATCTTTTGCCTTGGAAAGGTGGGAGTGAAGGGAATCCTGATTATGAGTGCTTGAGGGCCGAATTAAGGAAGATGGCGCCGCCTAATGGACGAGCTGTTTTGCTTTTTCGGGCTCGCTGTGGTTGCCCTATTGCAAAACTTGAAGGTTGGGGAGCTAAGAGAGGGAGACGCCATAAAAAGTAAGTTTTTATAGGGTTGATTTTGATGGATTTTCGGAGAATTGGGTTATTCTTTGGTTGATTTATTGATTGATTATATCTTTTTTTTGGGGGGGGGGTTTGACTGGGATTTAATCTCTGAGTTTAGTTTGATTAAGGGATTTTAATAGAAAATTATTGTTTTTCATTTTATTGTTCAGCATTTTCATTGACTGATCTGTTTTAGGCGCCATGGCAAAATAGGTTTCCTTAGTTCTCAATAGCCATTACTTTGAGAGATTGTTATAATTTGTGGTAGATTTTTAAGTTCTTCAGCTTTGATGCTCAACACTAAATAAAATCATCTTTTGTCTTGGATTTATCCGTTTGTTTGAATACAGGTTAGTTTATGTGTTATTTTGAAACATTAATGCCTTTCTAGCAGTATATCTTGAAAGATAGATCTTCATGTTTTCTGGGTTTATCTCCGCCTCTCTGGTATAGAATTTATGCGGCTTTAATCAGTGAAAACTTAACAATTTTTTCACCGCGGTTGCTATTTCTATTTATTAAGGTTCTGTTTAGTTTGCATATTTTCATCCTTCCATTTGGATGAATGTGAAAGACACAAGAATGTGAAAATCTTCTCATTGTTGATAATATGATCTGCCAAACGCTGTTAAATGACTCCAGCATTTGGACTGGCATCGAGTTAATTGCTTATAAGCGAGGAGCATCATCCTAAAACAAAAAGGTTTTTTTTTTTCATTATGGAAAAGCAAACACGGGCATAATTTGCATTTAGCCAAACAGATTTGTGATGTGGTACTATCTAACTGAGGTTTTCGATAATTTGTTTTTCCTTTCTGTGGCAGTTATAACCTCTTGTATTTATGATGTTTTGGTACTGTGTAGGGATGCTTATGCTAGAAGTTTAACTTCTTTGGTTATAACATTTATGAGCAGGCCATCCCACTATATTTGAACATTGATATTATTGGTAAACTTATTGTTGATGTATCGTTCCAAGCTAAGCTTCTGTTAGTCTTTTGTGGTGGTACCTTAATGAGTTTCTGGCAGTCATAAGTATTGCTTCTTATTTTTCTCCACTATATTATCATTTGTGTGTTTTATATGTTTGTGAATATCTCATATCTTGCTTTGCTACGTGTACATGAATGCTATACTTACAAGGAAAATGTTTTAACATCTACGCTGGTTAAGTCGTAAGTGAAACTTGATGCTGTTTGAATGAATGGCCATGCCAGCTCTAGATATTAAGTTTTAATACTGAACATGAAGGTCACCTTCATCCCCCCTTTTTTTTGGTACTGTTAATAATGAACATTTTGTGTAAGTCTAGTCTTCTAAAAAGGATAACCCCAGGCTCAATTGCATGGAGGGATATTTATTTATATTTTTGAGGGAATATTGGTCAAATTCAAAGCATGAGAATGATTGTGTTCATTCTCTTGATGACTAGGTAACCATAGTTGTTTGAATGTTATTTGTCAACTATGTTTATCTCGTTAGCTTTTTCTGGATGTCATTTGATTGTCTATGGCTGGTATTTGGTGTCTGTTGTTAGTTCCTCCACTCTCCCACTTCATAAGTTCAAATATAAACACTCTTTTATCAGCTTTCCGCTTACCATGATTTTGCAGAAATATACTTTCGCTTATCCAAAAACTGTGGTGATGTTATGCTTCTAATTCGTGAGTGAGTGTATAATTTCATTGAGTAATTCTGAAAAGAGAAGTCACTTGTTACTCCAAAGGGATGAGTTAATGCATTTTATTGGATAACTGTAGTATTTTGGCGAATTCTGCTATCACATTGCATTGATTCTTCATGACACTGATTGGCTTCATGCATTCATAATCTGGAGCTTCGGACAACCTTAATTTATTTTGACAAACTTTGAATTTACAATTCCATACACATGTTCGTATATAAGTTGATGTGACCAAGCTGAGAATTGGTTTTTGCAGGAGTCTAGCTAGTTCGGCACAAAACGGAGACCATCGCTAATAATCGATGATGGTACAGTCACCGGAATCCTCCTCTATTCCAACGTTTTACTAGTTTGATATTTAATCTGTAACTCTATCCTTTCTTGAAGACTTTACTTTGATCAGAAGAAATATTTATATGCTGTATTCCGGGTGGCATTTCTTGAACCTTTTTCTGAAAGCAACTTGGAAGGATATACAAACGTTTAATTTGAATAAGATAATATTGGATTATGATTTGATTTAAAAACAATCTATTGACCTGAGCATCGGTATTTGATGTTAACGGCTAACGCCATATTAATTGATTGCTTATTAATTTTATGTGTTGACAATCCTACTACCAAGTATTGCTATTTGTTATATTCTCTGGATTATTTATTTGTACTTTCGTCACGCTAAGTAATCTGTTTTGAGGTATTTGTGTTTGATATTTTGAATATGTTTTCTAAAATCTTATCTTCCAATTATATTGTATAGATTTAAAAAAAATAAAGGGTTGCTATTAGGGGTGAGTTTTCGATTGAGCCGAGTAAAAAAAAATTCGATTTCTTTGAATCGACAGTCCTATTTGTAACTCGAAGTTGATTTGAAATTTTTTCAAGTCGAGTTTATAAAATTAGAGTTGAGTATAGTCGGATTTTTTATTTTCTATTTAAATTTAATTGTAAATATTTATAATATTATGATATTATTTTATTTCAATTTAAATTGTTTTTGATAACCATATACAATAAATATTTTTCTTCATATTTTATTTCATATGATATCATACAAAGTTGAGGGACTTGAATCAAATTTGAAAATCAATCTACTGATTTTAAAAATTTCGAATAACTATTCAAGTTATTCGAGTTGTATTTGACAACTCAATTCAAACTTAAAATTTTTTCGAGTTGAGTTTATGAAATTATAACTTGAAGTTAATTCGAGTCGAATTTTCTTGAATCTAGTCAAAAAATCAATTTAGTCTAGTTTTGCTATCCCTTAGTTGCTATACCATTTGATATTTGAGTTTGGGCTAATGTTTAATTTGATACCCAAATTTGACTTAAATGTTTTGGTCGGTACATGAGTCTTTTCAATTTGGTATTTGAGTTTGGTTTCGATGTTCATTTTGGTTATTATGTTCAAGTGTTTAAAGGGCATAAAATATCAATAATTAGGGTTACAAATAAGATTATCAAATGCATAAAATAACTGTTAATAAAACTACTAATAGTAATAATAACTCATATAATATTAATAATAACTCATATAATATTAATAATAACTATTCCCTCTAACCCATGATTTTTTCTATTTTGGTTTTTAAAATTATCCCATTTAAAATATCTTATTAGAAAAATAAACAAACAATAATAATTATATTTACTTTTTTAACCTTTTATGTTCCACCTTTTTATACTTATCAAAACAAATCTATGAAGTTTATCAATCACTTTTACGGATAATTTTGTCATTCTCTTCATTTTATATAGTCAAATGTCTCTCCAAACTGTGTTTAATCAACATGAGACAAAAATCATGGGACGGAGGAAGTATTTTCAAGAATTTTAGTGTTTAAAATACACAAAGTATAAATATTTAGGGTAAATATAAAAATAAAAAGTGGATATAATATATCATCTACGTTTAACTTATCAATGATGATATGACATGCTCCTGTCATGCCCTTTGTTACCCAAAGAAGAGGAGCTTCCAGCGTTTTGGTTAACCCCCATGGAATCTGGAAGGAGATGTTGGATGCTTCTTAGTGTGTTAGCTTTTCAAGGTAGATTATGGGGGAGGTGAACTCTGACCAATTCTAGCTACAAACCCTACTTCCCCCGCTTCAACATACCTACTAGCTTCTTGTTGTAATTGACTGATCTTTGTTTGCTTATTGTCTATCAAATCTTACTTAGGGGCTCGTGTCATAGCTTGGAGATGTAGTCGAAGATTGCTCAATCATTTGATAGGTTATTGATGTTGTATGTAACTCTCGAGAATCTCCTTGTATAATCCTTGAGAAGCCCAGCAGGTCTCTAGACCATACTAAGCAGGCAAAGGATGGCCCTGCCCTGTTCACTAAAAACTACTCGACCAAAATATATAACTGTTTGAAGTCCCTCACAATTGTCCGGAGTCACACCAATTCTTGGCTTCCATTCGTAGCTAGAGTGGTCAAAAAGACCTTCTACTCCAGCTCGTCTAAGGCTTATATTATTATATCCATGTAGTTCTTGCAGTGGGACATGTGCTCAGTGGGGGTCTCTGGTCCCATCGTACGTCTTTTTAAGCAACTCGAAGTACGGGGTATGAAGCTGCTAGCACGTGAGGCATGAGAGGACTTTGCTCCTTCGTTGCTCAATCTCCTCCGGAACTGTTCAAAGGCCAGAGATCATCATTCCGCCTATGTATGATCGCTATTTGATCCCTCCATTCTTTCTTTTTAGGATCGACATGTTGAGACATATATTCAATGTTGTCCATTGTGTTCAGGCTATAGGCGGGCAATTCTACCATCGGAAAGTATTTGATCAAGCATCAACCTTATCTTGTTGACTCATCTCCTCAACATTGAAGGCGTTTTCTTCCTTTCCCCCTCGTCGCCTACTTCCTTGGCGCTAGGAGATCAACGATTCTTGAAGAGTTTTGGTGTTGGCGTCAAACCTAGGATTAATGATTATTTGTAGATTGGCAAGACCAACAAATATAGTTGTTTGGTGGATCACGTGAGGCTGTTAGTGATTATGTCAATGAATTACAACTGATAGAAGGATATGAAACTTCAAAGACCTATAAAAGTCCCGAAAGCTTTGATAGATAGAAGATAGACTCATAGACAATAGAAACACGGTTTACGGAGGAAATTTGAAAAAAAAATACAACGTATGTGGATCTTAAAACAATTTTGACTTAACCCTAGCTTTGTATTCTACGGCTACAAAATATTTCAATAACTTGAAAACACATATTATTGCAAGGCTACTCAAAATCAAAGGCGATGGCAAGAAAGTGAGCAACCGTGACGTTGAGGTGAGTTAAAGAGAGAGATGATGATGCACAATGGAGTTTGAAGAATTAAGTTGATGGAACTTATAAATGTGGAGGGATTAAATTGTTAAATTATTTAAAATTAAAACAAAATTAATAAAGTGTGTAAATGTTAAGGATTAAATATGTTCTTCTATCATTAAAAATATATATTAATAATTCCATTTAGTGATTTAACGGCGCAGGACCAAAATGATCTTGACAAATACAGTGACATTAATAATCGAATGACTATGTAATTTAGTCTAACAAATAATACGCACGGTACAATTTTTGAACAAAACGCTTGTTATAATAACCTCCACCTTTTATCTATTATTTAGTGTGCACTTCTCTTTCGCATCAAATATGCCAAACGTAGAACTCATCAAGTGACCTCGATGATAAAAAGAATATCATTCTATCTAGAGATCATGATTTCGAGCAACAACTGTGTCTGGAAGGTATGTGAACGTTGTTGTCAATAAGTTAAAAAAATTCTAAACATATACTATCTTATAATAACCACATGATATATATATATTAGCAAGTAAATTCAACCTGCTATCCTTTAGTAAGCTAGCCGAAACTGGGCATCAAAGTCGGATTCTCATTTAACAAAACTCCTTTGGGGGGGGGGGGAAGGTGTTGTACTTTCTAATTGCTTCTATGAAGCACCAAATCCAAAATATACATCAATGGAAGAGGCGCATAAATGGTGTAAAATCAAAGTTTAACATGGAATCTCCAAAGTAAGCTCTTCACAGTTAAACATCAATTCGTTCTCAAATCTTTCCAAAACAAAACGCTCCTCTGACAAAATGATATTGGTAACAGTGTATTTTTTTTATCTGAAAATGGCAATCTACCAGTTCTTCCAGCCCGATGTAAATAATCAACAGCAGTTTTTGGCAGGTCAAAGTTGTATATATGAGTAGTTTCTGGCAGATCAATCCCCCTTGCTGCAATATCTGTACACACAAGGAGATATTCATCTCCTTCTCTCAAATCCTGCAATTTTTCCGGAATAACAATGAAAGAAAATAAATGTTTCAATTAAATAATTGATCTACTACCACTAACTAACACAGGATTAGGGGTGCTAAACGGTTGAGCAGCTCGCGATGCTAGACTTGACTTGAGACCTTAACAAGTCGAGCAAGGCCCAACTCAACTTAATAAATTCGCGAGTAGTTCGTTAATTTTTATAATTTTTTAGAATGTTAGTTGCCTTATTTTTAGGATTGATTGTGTATTGTTAAACCTTTTTTTTCTTTCAAGAATGATTGTAATATGTTAGTTTGGTATATTTATGGATTGTTACTTTGGTTGTAACATGTTAGTTTGATGTATTTGTAGATTGTTACTTCGGAGTTTGAACTTTGAAATTGCTTCCCATGCTATTTTGATATTTATTTTGTTAAATTTGTTAATTTATGTTTATATTAAGCTTTCCATAGTATTCCTAGATTTTACATATATTATAAGAAAACAAGGTAAACGAACAATGAGTTGAGCAAAATTTTATGAGATTATTGAGTTCCGACTCAAGTTGAGCACAAGTCGAATAGTTTTCGAGTCGAATCGAGCATTACTCAACTTGTGATCAACTCACTCGATAAGCACCCCTACGCAGGTTGGTATGAAATTGAATTGTAATTTTTTACTTTATTTTATTTTGCATTTTCCCCCTTTTCATTCTCCCTAAAGGCCAAACATAAGGATCAAACAATAGGGAACTGTTAGAAACTACGTTGAGGCAAGAAAGGAAAAGGTTAGAACTACTTTTTTTTCATTTTTCACCCTTTCCAACATCTCTCCACCAATAACTAGCATTCTTCATACTCTGCAACCACCACGGTGCTTTTTTTATATGCATCATTTTGTCATTTTTCTTCAATATTCTTTTCACATAAAAGGAATCATATAACTCTGCTAGAAAAATCAATTAAACTAATTAGCAACAAACTCAGCTTTATTTTATTTAGAGGGAATGGGAGAGGCCACACCAAATCATAGAAGAATTAGAGAACACTTACTGAGAGTGAAGCTGCTCGTGAATTAAAATTCATGTCCTCCTCCAAAAGAAGGATCTGTAAAGAACCTTCATATGATGTCCTCAAAAAATCAATTAAAAGAGATGTTGAGGGAGCTTTCTCAGCTTTTTTTGCCTTCTCAGACTGCATTGAATTGTAGAGAAACCGAGAAAGTTGAACCTAAAGCTTGT